AAAAGACACACACACACACACACACACACACACACACACACACACACACACACACACACAAAATCTATCTAAAAGAACACATCTTTAAGCAAGGGAGTTGTGGGAAGGGGGAAAAAAAAACAACAACATGCATTATTGATTTCATCATACAGATAAATTAAGACAAAAAACTAGTAGAGGAAGTAGATAAAAGGTAAATTTTGGTGTAGACATTGCATTTTTAGCTGGGTACACCTAAATTGTATAAAAGGTGAAAGAAACAGGGTGGTAAACAATGGGGCAAAGAGGGAAAACTTCTATAGAAACTGATTTAACATTCACATTCCTTTTCATGTTGTTACAATACGAATAAAAGGCATTTTGAAGGAAGCATTAATTCAAAATGCATGCTAGTCAGTAGCATGGAACAAGTAGGTATTTAGCACTAAATTTAATTTTATTAATTTTCCTATTACTCACACTAAGAAAAAAAATGAAAGCTGCCTGCCTATTTGCAAACTAACTTGATGAATGATTTTATAGCTTTAATGAAACAAATCTTGGTGTTTGTTCTTACTTCAGACCTAGGAGAGAAAGTATTAAAATTTCTTAAAAGGTAATTTATGAACACTTAAACTAAATCTTTTGTAATGTAACGAAGTAACTTTCTACTGTCCTACTTACCTTGAGGTGTATTGCCTCTGAATATAGGCATCAATCCTGCAGTCACTTTAGTTCAATTAAACTGATCACAAGCTAAAGTTTACTTATCTACATCAGTGTGTGACATGGGGCCATTTTGGGGCTGGGTCTCAACATCGGCCTGTCCACCTGTCTCTGTAAGGCAGTCCACCCAGCCTCATCTGCCATGACTTGTTGTTCAATAAACTGGTGTTAAATGCGGGAGGCTGCCCATTTTACTGCCCGGATGCCAGGGGGCACTGTACACAACTCCAACCTTCCCTTATCATGTCCCCTGCCTCTCATAAGGTGTTATAAGTTCTTAACAGCTCTGGCATCCCTTGCAGCAGGCACCCTGGCCCTTTTGACCCTGCTGGTCCTGGCCCCATGACTGACCAGTTGAGGGTCCCTCTGGTCAGGTCTCTGAGCAGCTAGCCCATCTCAAATAGGTCCACCTTCTTGGGCCCCTCCAAACACAGACTTTATGCCTCTTTGGCCCCAGGCCTCTGATAACAATGCCTGGACCCTCTGCCTGTCCCTACTCTGGGTTACCTACCAGGTTATGGGGGCTCTGGTTTTAAGGCACCCCTCCTGGCCTTTCACTGGAGAGGCAACTGGCCTGGCATCTCTGGGAAGCTCCTCTGTCATGCACAGTCCCACCAGGTCATCCTCCCCCAGCAAGGTGCAGTTTATTGTCATACCCAGGACCATGCAGGCCTACCTCCCCTGGTCTCTTCCCTACTGGGTTACTTGTTCCTGAGCTGCTGCTGGCTGCCTCTCACTGGCCCAACTCCCCAGCCCCCTCCTTGGATGCCTCCTACTTTTCAGCCTGCTGTCTCACTGAGCCTTTCTTCCCTTAGACAATGATGCCCTCCCCAATCAAGGGGACCTTCAGCCTCCTTAGGCTCTGACCCCACCCAGGACAATCAGGGCACCAGATAGCTCATCATGGCCCAGGCCTGCCCCTCATGTTGAGCTTCATTGGCCTTCAACATTCTGGCCCTGGCACTCTTGCATTGACCAGTGAGGGTGCTCTGGTCCCATCACCACAGCAGCTGACCTCCTTAGGCAGTAGGGGTCCCCTTCTGGGCCCTGCCATGCAGCTATCTCACACTAGGCTTGCTCAGAGCCCAAGAGATCTTAATCAGACAGCTCTAATGTAAATTGGGCTCACCTGAACCCCAGGCCTC